CCCCAAAACCCCAAAACCCCAAAACCCCAAAACCCCAAAACCCCATTTCAGAATTATTATTGATTTTATAAAAGTAATACATAAACCTTTAGATTATGGGATGCTCACAAGGAAAATTCAGGCCAATATGCTGAGGTAAGGAAGTGGTATTGATAGATGATTGGTTCTTAGGGGACTAGCTTTTGGTAGGGTGTTCGGCTCTGTTTGAGAGATTAAGTTAGATGATAATTCATAATTTTTCGATGTCATGATTTGTGTGCATATTGTACAGCTATGAACGAATATTTCCAAATAATTTTTAATAATACTTTAATTTCAAAGGAGCCTTTTGTAGAATAAATATGGTTATATTATTATGACAATATCTTCAGAAGAATGCAGTAGCCTCTTCAAGTAATAAAAGATTATGGAAATAACTTAGGAATTTGCTCAAATTGTTAATATTATGCTCAGATTAACCTTCAATCGTTTTATACTCCATATCTTCAAAATTTGCCGTATCATAATCTCACGAGTAACTCTAAAATTGGCCTTCTTAATTTTTCAAATAATTTCCCCTAAAATCACCTAAATTATCCAAAATTATTATTTCCAATACTCATCTCCAAATCATAGGCAAGCAAGATGTCAAAGAGAAAGTAATAATCAGACCCAGTAAGTAAAACTCTACATATATCAATAAATCACCAATTCATCAACCAAATTCTGTTCAACTCTTGGACCAGCTCTGCTGATCTCCTTACTGCAGAGCTAATTCTCATTAGACTAATAACGACTCCTAATTAACAAATTCTGAAGGAATTTCAGCTTTTCCTTCAAATTCTTTACTAAAATAAGTTAATAAGACTGACCAAAAGTTGCTCCAATGGAGCAACTTTTGGTAGGGTTAGAAGCTTGCTAATAACGAACGTTTAGACAAGAACTCCAAGCAGCCGAATGTGCTGGTCATGCTAGTCTGCCTTGATAAAATTCTTGACTACCTGCCTCTGGAGGACCTCTCCAGGATGACAGCCGTGAATAAGTTCTTTTGCTATACAGCAACTCTAGAAAGGCTGTACGAAAAGTTCGATATTGATGAAACTGAATCTTTCATTGAGTCCTCCCTTGGAGACTTGGTAAGTCATTTCTTAGAATTGTCACAAAATCTTTGAATTTTCAAAATTTCCCTAAAATTTTTGATAAAATAGTATGAATTTGTATAAAATAGACAGAGAATTACTCAAGCTCTTCAAGACTCGGTAAATATTCGAGTAAGAGAAGGCTGAAAATGACGAAAACAGATGGAGCAGCTAGTTCGAATTCAAAAGAGAAAGATGATTTACTTAGTAAAAGGTACTCTTCTTCCTGAGACTGTCTAACGCTTCTCTAGCAACCTGAGCAATATCACTCTTGAACTATTGAAACGGTAAGCCTAAGAGTGTAACAAAATAGAGTTAAATCAAATAAGAAAAGTATGTGGGTTTTTCAATAACTGATACAACTCTGAAATTAGTATCTTTCTGCCTATACTCTCCAGAGTTGGATGGAAAATATTGGCATGCTTTCCCTAAAAGAGTCAGCAGCTTGGACGATATTTGCTAGAATCATAGCCTAGCATAATATCAAAAATAAATACAGACATTACCGTTATTAATAATAAATCTCCATACAGGGAATTAGTCAGTTTGTTATGAGATAAGAGAAATTTGGTTGCTCTTTTTTCGAAGATAATAAGAATTTCATATCCTAATGTTTCACCATAATAACTATTGTTATAGAAAAGTAAGCCTGAAATAATGAGCTAAGCTCATGGAGAATAGTAATGTGTAAAACATAATTGGTCCTTAAGCTGCATGTGCATGCAACAAGAATACTTATATTCCTGACCAATTAAAAAATATAGACTTTGAATCTCTTTTCGAATCTTTATTAACCTCAAATTTTAGTCAAAATTTCAGGACAAATTACTCAAAACCTAACAGAATAGCGAAAAATACGAGTAGTGGGAATAGGTAAGTTCTTCTCAATTTTACTCGTAGCATAACTAATTTCAATCCGCAAATGCTGGACTCATCAATTGCAAGATCGAGGGCGATCATGGTAAGTCTCTTGCTCCTAACCATAGACGTACAAGAGGGAATCATCATGATTCACTAGTATGCGGATGAAGTTCAACAGTAGAATTATGCTCCAGACCAACGAGGAAAACCTCTTTTCTAAACACTCAATCGGTAAGTTTCTTCTCTCAAGACTAGCTTTTGACGATAGTTGAAAAGTATTCGAAGGGAACCCTAGCTTCGACTCTAAGGAGATCCCTCACGAGACGATCTCCGAGATGAGGCCTCCCAGTGGGTTTGGAGACCACTTCACTAACTCAGAAGTTACTGAGAAAGTAGTAAAATTTGCTGACTGGATCAAGCCTCTTCGAGCCTCACCTAATTTGTCGTAGGGCCTCATATTATTCTTATATAAATTGCTCCATCTTTTATAGGACCTCAGGGGTTTTGGGGTTTTGGGGTTTTGGGGTTTTGGGGTTTTTGGGG